TAAATTAATACTTTATGTAGCATTTAATAAAATATAAAAAATTATATATTTACGTCTTATTTATTCATAATTTATTCATTAAATCGAATATTTTTTAATTATAAATTAACATTTATTGGTGAATCAACGAAGCTTATAATCGAAACAACAATAAACATTTATACGTGTGTTGTAAATCAAATAAGTAACATAAAATCAAGGGAGGAGGAAAACTTTTTTCAGAAAGCATTACGAATAACCATAAAACTAAATTATCCTGCGAATTACCAAATTTTATGGGCACTCGCAACAATTTTTCCGGTTTTCGCACCCTTCTAAAATTCGCAGCCGAAATCGTTATTACGTTTCACTGCTTATAGAATAATTTTATATCGTTCCCTGTTTTCTTTTTTTATTATTATTCTTTAAAGCATGCTGAATAATGAGACTTTATAATTATAAAAGGAAATAATGTTTTACGAAATGCCCTGCCCGTGAGAATTCCGCAATAATTATTATATTTTTGTTTTAATTTCTCTGCGAAAAGTACTAATTAATTTCGTCCGTCTCGGATAGTTTTTAATTTCGTTTCACGTTTTACTTGTTTTCTCATTTTCAGGATTGGTTCATATATATATAAAAGCGGGATATCGACGGGATATGTTATTTGTTTCAGACACGTTTACACGTGGGATCAGACGGTTTTCCACTAATTTACATTTAGATATACATATAGATTTTATTAGGTTTGCAGGTCTGAATAGCAAATACCATTCTGCTCCCTCGAATTTCTGCATATCCTGCTGGGTGTTTCTATAATAAGATATATGCAAATTAACTTAACCATACAATATTTTCTCTTATGTTTGGAATATTTACAGATGCCTACCAACAAGGCTTTACTCACTTATGAATATATACTACAATAGTGATATTAAACAATAAGTTCAATATGAAATTTATTTGCAAGGCTCTTAAATTAAACAATATATAAAAAATTGCAAAAAAAATTTAGTCATAAATATTATATATTACAATTTATTTATTTCAGATGTAATCAATTTATAGTGTATACCCTTGACTTTACATCTGGTCTACCCAAAATTGTTTTGCGGTCCAACTGTAGGCTGCGGTTGACGTCTTGGGTAGATCTAATTTAAGGATATTGTAGTAATAAAGATGAATAATCACACCATAGGGCCAATGCAGTAAATTGGATTTTGTCAAAAAAGAAACGTTACTATAATTCTTTTTACAAACAACTTTTAAATTAAAAAATACAAACAAAAATATTTTCATCAATATTTTATACAATATATCCAATAAAATATTGGACATCCTTACAACAAAATAACAATTCTTCATCAAAAATATTTAATTTTCTTATGAAGTTCACACATCAGATTAAGGAAATTAATTTTAATTATTATTTATAATGATAGTTCAGAATATTACGTAATCAAATTGCAATGAAATTTGATATACAAATAACAGAAAAAATATTGACATAACATAATGGCAATACTTCTTTTATGAGACATTTGTATCATAATAATATTATAATTGTGAAAATTCTAGGACTCAAATAAAAAATAATAAAGAATGAAATAAAGTTTTTTTTAATTATTTAATTGGGCGGAAACATCAATGTCAGATGTATTTATTTGTAACAAAAAATGTTATTTTTGTATAATGTATAATAATTTATAAACAATTGCTTGATTTTTTAGAGTTCGTAATTTATATTTATTATGATTCGATTATTTTTATTAATTATTCAAATAGGAACTAAATGTATTACAAATTTTATAGGAATTTGTACTATGTAGCGAAAAAAAAAAGACTTACTAAACTTTAAGCAGTATTTCAAAATTTAATTTCCATAGCTGATGGACATATCTATATGCAAAGCGAGCAAGGAACATTTCCTCATTTTCAAACAACAAATTGCAGGTTATTAAAATAATTACCGACCGCACTACAAACAAAAAACGCTAATCTGAGTAGTTTATCAGAGCGGTTAAGATGAATGTGCGCGTGTCACGTGTGCTGAAAGGAGGTATGTTAGAAAAGGTAGGGGGAGAAAGAAACGAGGGTTTAAGGGTGGGTGGAAAAGGTGGTTTTCGGAATGATAGTATGAATTAATAATCTGCATATTTGCGCCGCGTGCGGTCTGCAATAATTGAGGGTAAGTGGCCATTTGCAATAATTAAATGTCGGTTACGTTACTTAAGGGTATCAACGTGAGGCGCCGCACAGCTTCGAGATGGGTCACTACTTAGAGGTAATTTACCATATTTTTTCGTTCGTTATCATTTTTATATTCCTGCAATACCATGTTATTTCAAAGGCAACACGCGAAATATCGTAATTTCGTTTGCAATGCATGTTACATGGACATCATTTTGACAACCCTTATTACCTAAATGCATGTGTGCCGCAAACGTAATATTGTAAATGGATGACATTTATTATGCAACTATTTTATTTGTTTATTATTATTTGATATAATTTTATAAGATCCATCAATACTTCATTCGTCCTCATTGATTTGAAATGATATACACAGAAAGACCTATGGACAATAGCCCTTATTAGCAGTTAACTTTATATTTTATAAATACTAATAATTGAAATTGTACAAAAATCAATTAACTTTCACATTTCATATCATTTTGTAACTAAATTTTTATTAACTAATAAGAAAAATATGCTTTTGACTAAAATAATAATCAAAATAAACAACAGTAATATCTGTAATTCCTTTTTAGTTTCTTAAAAAACAAGTTAGAAATTTCTCGCAATTGCTGAATAATGTTATCTAAAGGACCGCCTTAAGAGTTAAGCTTTATAAACTCTCTAAATAACCCCTTTTCCGACCCACTTTACTTTGAAAAGGACTTTCACGAAATCCCATACATCAGGTGTAGTAAGGGAATTAGACAACAACAATATTATAAATAAAAATGTAAATTTGTAAAAAAAACATAATTTTTATTATCTTTATTCATCTTAGAATATGATATAAAATGATTATAAAATAATATAACAATAAATGAATGAAATAAATATTATTAAGTACAACCTTTTCTTCTATAATACTTTAAATTAGAAACTTTAACTAAAATTATATTTATTAACTTATGGTTAATAGCACTTTGCAGCAGTTTAATTCAGTTTTTTTATGATATTATTTAATTGTGTTAAGTTTATATTTTGGTAATTTGTTGAAATAAATATTATTATTAATTAAATTTAAAAGAATTGTAATTTAGCATTTCCTTGTTCATATTTCAATAATGAATAATAGTCATTATTCTATTCAATTATAAACATTTCCATTCATAAAAAAATCGTAATAGCATTATCTCTATTTTTTTGCAAACTATGGAAAAATAACATAAATTATAAAGCAAAATGTCAAATATGTTTGGAACGTTCTTTAATACCGGGAAATACTGGCAATACAAATAATAATGTTTTGTTTATGTAGCAATTAGTTCAAAAGCGGGATATTGTGTTTTCGAAAATAACGCAGTTTATGTTTATTATAGGAATCAAGGCAGCGCGGACGATCGTAACAATAACGATTTTAAATGGGAAAAAATTGTTACACAAACCGATAAAAATTGGTAATTTGCCAGATAATATACTTTTATGTTCATAACGATTTTTTTTCTCTCTCTCCTATGTTTAATCCTTCGCTGAGCAAGGAATATCACGATGCACACAAATAAAAGACAGCTCTAATGCAGTATCACTGTCATTACCTTATCCTTTTATGAAACATGTGAATACCGTGTCTGTGAAGTTTGTTTTTTTGCAACTAAAAGCTTGTCACTATCGATGCATTACACATTATCTGATGAAATTTTTATGACTAATTGTGTACACATAGTAACCATTTTAGTCACATACATGTACTCAATTACAAAAGGTTAACGAACAGTTCGAAGCTATTGCGAAAGATTTGTAAGTTCGGATAACGGACATTTTGCCAGCCATTTGGCGTTATTTGTGGTAACGTTACTACTGGTGATTTTAAGCTTAAGCCACTTCTCTAAATCGATAATCGTTTAACGAACATTGTCTTCGGTTTATGTTCGTTAACCGATCACCCACTGCATTTGTTTATTTCACGAACAATAATATGTAGACAATGATTACATAATCAATAAATTACGATAAATGTATTTAGCATATAGTAATTGTAGCATTGTTCAGAAATTATATGAAACTTCACAATTAATATAATATATAATCTTTTTCAAATATTATTAAAAAATGTATATATAGGCAACTTACATAACAATGTAGCCAGAACAGAAGAAAATCTTGCATATATCTAGTACGCACCCCCGCCTCAGGATAGCAAAGGTGCCAAATATTTAATTGACGCCCCATTTTTCACCAAAAAAAACACTATTACCTATTACTTGCGTTATTTGCACCCCTACTATAGAAGTGGCTGTCGCTCCTTTCAGACACTCCTTGCTGTGGCGCAGAAAGTATCTAATAAGAATAACAAATAAAATGATTTATATTAATATCATGTCTAAATTTCATATTTAAATAATATCTTCAATAATATATGTGGTAAGATTATTAAAAAAATAATTTATTATCAAATAGAACGGGACATTAATTTCAATCGATTATTAAACTAAATACATTTCGCTTTCAAAGATTTACATTTATGAATGTAGATTGAAATTCCTGGATCAGATTAATAACGGAACTCGTACAGTCGGAACATTGTTGGAGATTCACAACTTCAAATAGAATTCCGAACTTCCATTATGACATCCGGATAATCTATAACAAATTTGTAATAGTCGCCAAAGTATTGTCGACTTGAAAAGCTCGCATTTAAAATGGTTTTTTTTTTTGGTATTAGTTTATTGTAATAATAACATAATTATTTCATTTCAATGTTATATACGTTTAAAATATATAGGTATAAAATAGTATTTGATTGAAAAAACAGCTCAATCATCAACATGAACATTTAAATGAAAATTCAACATCAACAATAACAAGTTTATATATATTATATAATAAAATGCCTCTACGAAATTAGAATATCACAAGTGCAAAGTAGTATAAAAGACAAGGTAAAATATAGTATCAGTATAAAGGAATCCAGCAATCTGGGAAACCAGAAATATAAATAATTCATAAATTAACGCAGCGTTCTTTTTTGTGTTGGAAATAAGTATCGGTAATTTTCCTCCGCATGGTGATGTGATTTAGTAAAATGTCCCCTTGGATGTAGACGCACTTGATAGTCATATCGACGGGCAATGATTGGAAGACGAATTCTCCGGTCAACTTGCCATCAACCCAAACGGAATATCCCTGCCGGTCCATGCGAATGATTAAGGAAAACGGAGAACCGGGAACGAACGGAAATATCGGCGCACGTTCTTCCTTCAGCCATATGCCACGATGCCAAGCATTGCGGACGAATATATTTGACCCCCCGACTCCACTATCTGCAAAAGAGAAAAAAATAAAGAAATAGGAAAGAAAACAACAAAAATAGAATGCACCGACACTACAATTGCTTCAAATTAGGTTCCTCGTGGAACAATGAAATTGGACAATAAGTTAAAGGCGGGACTCCCTTTACGTTCCTGTTCCGCAATCATCGCGTAAAATAAAGACGGAACGATCACGTGACTTTTTACTCAACTTCAGTCGACGGCGAAGTCATTTGAAGATGGTATTTAAAGCTTCAGGAAGACATTAATTCGGGTAAAAGTTTCAAAAAGTGGAACGTGCGAAATTATAATGAAATACAGCAATTTCCGCATCCGTTGAAACTTACTGAATCTGGGGTTGATGTGCAGAGGTATCTCAGGGTGCGGCCAAACCTGCGGTCCATCCTGCAAGTTTATGTAAAACGACTGTGGTAGTATTTTAATCTTCCCGTAGATTTCAAGTTGCCAACCAGTCTTGAATCCATGCGCCAGGACTCCCACGAAAGGCGTCCTCTGGAACACAGAAGGCAAAAAAATGTATATTACCGAAGCTAATTACACTTTTGGAATTAATTTCGGCTTTCTTCCATCCTCCACTCCTCTCAGATATAATAAACAGCCGGAACATCAAACGACACTTCATCATGCCAGAGAGAATCTTTATTGGATAACGGCCACCCCTTTAACCGTCGTTGGAATTGTTACGTTTTTTTCTTTTTCTTTCTCTTTTCTTTATTCTGTTTTGCAGCTACAAGACGGAACGTTTAAGCCGCGGAAATTTATAATCAACTTTCAGTGCGCTGCAAGCACCTACACTTTTCAGTTCCGCTTTGAACATCCGAGGAACAAAGATATTTCAATGAAGGCAAAAAAAAATACAAATTGCAGGCGCACCATGCTATATTACCAACAGGAAACTACACCAAAAACTTTTAGTCGAAACATTCCAAGAGGTCATAAGTTTATTTACGAAATACAAGGGCAGTCTCAATTCACATATAAATTCTATAGCACTTAATATATTAATGTCTCGCAATTCCACGAGTAAAATACTTCCAAACTGGTTATAAGACGTATTTTTTAATAATATATTAATATAATGTTAATTAAGAAGATAAAAATAAATAATAAGTTAGTACACAAAATTTCTAATAATTAAGACTTTAATTTAATCTTGTTAATATATTTATTTAGTAGACGACACAAAGTATAGTAAATTTCCCTATGAAACGGTTCACCCTTTTTTTATTTTCACTCCCGAAATGCGATTGAGAAAAAAATATGTTGGAGAATGGCTGCACTTACGGTTTCATCTATTGTGTCCCAAAAGGCAATTGACTATGTAAAATATCACTACCTTAGGAAAAAGCATTCGACCATTACGAAGGGCCTAAAGTAAATTCGACGGTGAATTATTCACATTTTTTTTTATATATGCCTATATATTCCCAGAGGTTAACAAAAATGCACCCCAACCTAACAATACTATTTAAGATTTCATAGTAATCGTCCACTTTCGAGATTACCCCGAGGAAGCATTTGTATAAATTCCTTAAAACTCCGAAAATATAATCGTAACATCTCGCAACATACCGAATCAACTATTTAGTTACAACAATAAGTCAAGACAAGTTTATGTTGTTGATTATAACTATAAATAAATACTTCTTAAATTAAGAATTTACTAGTTATAAGTAAATACTAGCAATTTTGACAAGTATTTATGTTTCATGTTAATTAGGCAACAAATAAAAAATATTATTTAAAATTAAATAAGTAATCTATATACATTTATATTTGTATGGATGAGCTGCAGTGTATGAGTTTTGCATAATTATGAATGTTACATAAAGGTAGAACTAGTACGTTTAAAAGGACTCGGTTTAAATTAGACGACATGCAAAAGAAGCAAAGGGAATAAGGTGCATGTAACCGGCAAACCAAATTTCCGTGTTAATTCCGGAGTATATTTCACGCCCCACATCAAACGTTGGTTGTTGAGTGGATGTATATTCATAGAGGAGAGGAGAGAGCAAAGATAATTAGTATTCAGTTTGTGCTGCACGCTGCTTGTATATAAGACGTGGCTTCTTAATAATATTGTGGCATTTCGGAATATTAATAATAAATTTTGTCGCCACTGTCGCCGCCGCGCCAACGCCATCGCCGACTCCGCCGAAAAGTTTGAACGTTTTCATTAGCATTGTTAATTGATATTTACGCCGGGAGCAAATTGCGCAGTCACCTGGGAAGCGCATTGAGAACAATCAAACTTACTATAGAATGCTTCTTGTGCTCCTCGCTCATATCCACGTCTATCGCTATGTGATGGAGCTTATGGATAGGAACGTCCGGGTACTTCTTAACCGTTTTGATCTTACAATCGTTTATTTTCACTGGTCCCTCCACCTCTAATGTGGTGATGGTATTCATGGGAATTCTGTAGGCATACGCGCTATGATGTTTTCCATCTACAGACACCATAAACTCGGACGTGGTTAATAGGATGCCAATTGAAAACGGTTTGTTTAGGGAGAACCCGAACTTCAGCATCGACGTGCATTCCTCCTTGTCCCAACTACCCTCCACTCTGCTATTCCTCACGACGATTCTTCGATCTAGGCGAGGATTGAAATGGAATGCAATATCACCCGTGGCCGTCAGAAAATTCACAGCAAACCTGCAACAATTTACACTCCATTATTACACACACAACAACAAACAAACACATAACTTAATAAAAAAAAACAAATGGACTCAAAACGTACCTAACGCATTTAGATTCCGTAACCCCCGTTAGAAAGATCATCGATCCTAGATGGATATCGCTTAAATCCTTCTTGTAATGATTCTCCTGCTCGATAACAACAAAATCGTCTATCAAAGCCATGTCGGTAACAATTACCAAAAGCACTACACAGTTTTGTTATTTAATATTGCACACGTATTCTCAATGTTTTTTTATTTGTTTGTTCACTAGCTCGCATTCCTTATCATCGGAACAACGGATCTGGAATATGTAACAATGTAGAGGTCGGAATGATAATTAATTTCCTGAAATATTTGCTTTGCTTCGCCCAGCATTTAACTATACTGACAATTAATGCACGGCCACCCCGACATATTTGTCATCAAATTAATATTTTCATAATTCAATTAAAATTTAAATTCGTATTGCGTCCCGTTCGAAAATACACGCGCTCGAACTGCGAACTATATTAATACAGCTAATTAAATCGACGTAAAAATACGTCGACGGATTTAATTACAGAAATTGTTAAAGTTTCCCACTGGAAATTGTACATTTGCATCGTGCAAACGTCCAAACAAATATGAAACAAAACCCGCATTCCAAATAATTATTATTTTGCGGTATATTAATTTCTCATATAATAATATATTCGAAATAACAATATCAATTTTCTGTTTACAAAAAAAAATATAAACCAGTTCAGTTACAAATATCTGAAGTATTTGATTTATTAATATTAATAATTAAATTAATTAATAATATTTGTTTGATGGAAACAAATAATCAAGAAACATGACATTTCAGTAGAACAAAGATGATTTATTTATTGCTTTAGTATCGATAATTAATATTCATTTTAATTCATGTTTAATTTGATTCTTTAATGGTAATTTTTGAATAAGAAAATTATCATTGATTTAACAAATTTTAACAAATTATTTTGTTATTCTACAATAACACAAATATTATTAATGTAAATTTTATCGAAGTTTACGATTTCATTTAATGAGACTAAAATTATTAATATAAGCCTTTAATAATGAATTCCTTTGCAAAAAAATGCATCTTCATAAAGTGAAAACTCCTCTTTCATATGCGCCCATGAACATCTGTATTTGTGTATATAAATATAATAACAATATTACTATTATTGATTCTCAATATAATTTGCTTAGTTGCTTCTAATATTAATAAACATTATCAAAACAGAAAACTTAAAGAAATCAATGCAATGTAATATTTATAATATATTTCAATATAATTATTATTCAGATTTTAGATACATTTATTTGGTTATGAAGTTATGCTAAATTATACTGAAATTATATGAAACACTGAAAATAACATTTTCTAGTTAATAAGCATCAAAATAAATTCATACGTTAATCGTTAATCAAAAAATATAAATAATGTTCTTATCACATTCTTATCATACATGGATGTAAATAGAAATGTATGAAATTATTTGTCTTTTGTTCCAAATATGTTTTTTTTAAAGTAATTTGTAAATTAATTATGAAATGGATGTTAAAAATAGTAATTATTATTATTATATCGATAAACAACTTACAGACATATCCATTACATAAATGTTACAACTAGTTAAGACTGCTGTACTCGCAGACAGTCTATTCAATACTAGAATTAAATTACGCTATGAAAGGAATTTTTATTTGCGTACGTCTGTAAATAAATGAAGCAAACATCAACTGAATTAGGATTTGTTTATTTAAATTAGCGAATAAAACATGTAACGATAATATAAATGTAAACGATGTATTAAAAGCAAGCTGACCTAAATTACAAATACAATGGTACAATCTTACTAAAGCATGAAATTAAACTAATTAAAGGTAGACAGATGAATTAAATGCATGTTTGTTGTATACAATATAATAAAACTAAAAAGTTCACAGTTCACGTGGACAACTGAATAAACGAAAAACTGCGTCAGACTGCTGATGAAAATGACATAGGGTTTTATTGATTAAATTTGCTGCCAACATCCATAGGAAGTAACTAACAATTTTTCAAATAACAAACAACTTTGTTTATTCATGCATAACTTATACTATTTCAATAAATTTCAGTCGGATAATATTTCTCTATGTATTAAATTACTGAGAATTGATCAGAAATTTAATACAGAGTACAAGTCAAGTGCAATTGAATCCAATTCGTTTCAATTACATATATTAATTGCATAATTAAAATGTACTAAAACGTATTTAAATTTATTAAATAAATATAAAACCGAAAATGGCAATTGTCTAGTTATAGTATATTTTTCTATAAAAAATAATAATAAAATCAGTTGATTAAAACAATACTAGGAAATTGATTACACCAATCTTAAAATTATTTACTTGAAGAATATTCTTGCATACATTACTGTTAAATATAAAACCGTTATTTATGTTAACATCATGATATACAAATATGGATGATAAAAAATACAGTTATCAAATAAATATGGGACAGTTGTAATAATGCCAAATATCAAAATTCACTCAATTATTATAATATTTATTTGAAGAAAAAGGTACTCCTTTTCTCATTTTTTTGTCTCGTTTGTGTTGATAAGATTGTAAAATTCTTTCTAAGTGATAATGTAATATAAGCAATATGTACACAAATCCAAACATATGATTATTTTGTTATATATTACTATTTATAAACATTAACAAATTGTTTACGTCAGAAAATAAGGTATTTGAATGACTGTCGATGACTAAGCTGCGTGACTGGTTACGAAACACGTACAATTGTTGAAATTATTATTTATTGTGACTTTTAATAATAATTTACAAATAAAATGTGAAAAAAAATGAGTGCTTTCAAAAATAGAACAACAGGTATTTAAATCACAGTCTAATGAAAGATTAGTTTTCCAGTGATACAATTTTGAGATCAACATCTCAAAATAAACCAAGCATGTAAATAGAATGATCCATTAAAAAAAAATGAAATGAAAAATATTGTAGCTGAGAGTAATCAATAATAAACTCACGTCTGATTCGATCTCTAAATCCTCTTCAATTGTGTTTTCCGGAGATTCGACATTTTGAGACCTTGCGCGTCTCAATCGAAACCAGCCTTTGAAACAAGAACAACAACCGCAACATTTCTTCTTCTCGTTGTCCGTGTTACTGTTGTTGTTACGGACGCTATCCTGTTGCTGTTCATTTTGCGCCATTGTTGTTTTGTGTTTGGTTATTTTCCTTGACTACGAGAGCGCACGGGACACGCACAAATTCTGTTTGGCACAAGTCCTCTACGGAACGAGGATCTATAATTATGCACATTTCAAAAGAAACTGACCAGAATAATAAAGCTGTGGTCTGTTTTCTGCGATGACCTTAACTAAATAAAATAGCAATAGCAATCGACGCCGGCTCACACTTTCGTAGATAATCGCTTATCTCTATTTTCAATATTAAATGGGAACGGTCTCCTATGTTGTCTGTCAACTCACTTTTTAATACTCAACGTGTATTAAGATATTCATACACCTAAGTATGAGTGAAAGTTTAAGCATATAATTAAAAATTCTAAAATTACTTTTTAACTACTAATTTGTTATTTTGACAATTGTATTAGGAAATAATATTTAAGTTTAATAGGATTATTGTAGGGCAATAAGACCTATGGTCATTAGCCCTTTTAAGAAGTTGAATTTTGTTATTGTATTAAGTTTATTTTTTATTTTTAGGAATACTGTAATTTATAAATTTCAAAATAAATTCCTAAACTCATCAATTGTGAGGAATAATTAATGTCCAACAGTCGCAGTTAATATATTTGCATAATTAGGTCTTTGTTTAACACCTCATCTACATTGTTTATTAAACATTAATATAAACTCCGCAGTATATTAATACATAATTATATTTTGAAGAAAATATTATTATCGGTGCAAAAACATATAAATTGAAATAATTGTATTTAAAATAACGTTCTAAGATTAAAAGAACTAAAGTGGAGTGTGTGTTTTCTTATATATATTATATATAAATATCATAATAATAAATTTGACAAAGTAACAGACAGAACATACATATAGAGATAATTGTAATAATATTTATGGGAATGAAATATTATAAAATGTAAATATAATATAGTAAATATATTAAATAATCTTAAAATCTAAGTATTAACAATATGATAAGTTTTGGTGTTCAAGTTAACAGTTTAATTTTTTTCATTTTCATTATATAATAGAAATATGTTATTATATACTAAATACATAATACTTTTCATTATTCCATGTTTTCGTTATAATACATAATATATATATTTCAAGTAGTAACAAAATATCCATATGCAACGTAACAAATCTCACAAACTGAGATATTTTCAAACAGGAAGCTATCAATATAATTTCAATAACTGTATAATATAGAATTTGAAATCGGCTGAAGTCAAGTAGACTTTTCATAAACATTTATATAATTCGTTGTATCTATGGAAGCTTACGAGTTTGATTTTTATCGTTGATTCAATTTTTGGAAGCATTATAGTTCCGTGGTGCACGTAAAGAGATTATTTTTGATTGTCAAAAGTTAACGAAACAAAGAAAAATACATAATATTAATATATGGTAACTATATTCTAGCGAAAATAAAATAATACTTTTTTCTTTTCATTTTTTTTTGTTGCATAAATAAACAATAAAAGAAAATAAATCAGTCGGCAAATTCAATGTCAGCTTTAGTCATAATGGATTTTTTTAAATACAACTGGAAATCAAAAATACTGACCCAATAAATCGTTTTCAAAAAGGTTGTTGAAAGTAATAAATTATTAAAAGCAGTTTTGTACTAAGTAACGCATACGAAAAAAAAAGTAGATATTTCGTCGAAAAGTAGCCAAAATAAAGAATACTATTTACAAAGTTAAATATATGTATATGTGTGTAAAATAATAGTATTAAACTAATAATAGCAATTATAACTTATACAAAATATAAAATCTTAAAAATACCCATCCTTAAAACTTTTTGGTTCAAAATTCATATAAATTTACAAAATGAAAATTATGTAACAATAAAAAATAATAATAATAAACAAACAGAAGCAGAATTTATTGGCTCTGTACATTCTTGAAAAACCATTCCGTGAACTTCCTGAGCTGCTGAATCGCAGCGTGAGCTTGATCCTGCAGTTTGCGGTTTTCGTCTTTTAGGCGCCTCACTTCTTCCTCCAATGATAACCGTCGTCTAGTCTCTCTTGTAACCCTACTCTCCAATTCGCTTACATGGTTCCTCAGTTCCGGTTCACTGGTACTAGAAGCAACACTACAAAATTAAAGTACATTCAATCAATACTAAAACTCCATATATATTTCTTACTTTGAAGTTAAAGACGCGTCAGGTGGATCTTCCTCCCAATGACGAGATCTTTCGTTTTCATCTAAACTCCTGTTTTCGGTAGCCCTATTCGCTGCATCCACCAAACTGGACCAACAATCACTCTCAGGCAAAGGAAGCGCTTCAACTTTTCCCTTACTGGGACTAGTGACGCGTGGCGATAATCTATCCACTGAATTGCTCTTAAACTCTACTGGCAAAGGACTAGAAGTAGTACTAGCATTAGAGATAACGGTAGCGGGTCTTGCTAAAGTTAAGATAACTTCTGGTTGAGTTTTATGTACAGAAAGACTCATACTATTGATGTTCTCTCTACTTCTACTTTTAGTTTCTTTCGCCTCTGCAGCCTCTATGTTATCTGGATTGATCAAACGGATCAAATCATCTCGCAGAGTATTGGATAGACTGGCGCTATTTCTATTAGAAGACCTTGCTGTCACTCCTGGACGTAACTTTGCTTCGCCGTTAATGGATCTCGGACTTTGGTTTCTACTGCTTGCGATGCTACTGAGATGCTTGTTGGCACGTTTCGTGCGCGGCGAAATATTACCGCTTCCATTAGACAATTCTTCTTCGCTGCCAATTCCATAAAGTCTATCACTAATGGAACTGTCAGTAGAATGTCCATCGTTTCCGTTCAGTTGAGTTAATGTTGTATACTCAACCTTCGGAGCTCTGGTGACGGTGTACTCGGACTCTTGACGAAATCTCGCGTCATTCTGTTGCTTGTTTATATTATTTTTATCCAATTTCAGGCTATAGTCATTCATATTTTGTTGATGTACAGTGGACAAAGGTTGGTTATAATTTTGGTGTTGTAGGGGTAACGAGTGGCTTAGTTGAATTTTACCATGCTGCATACTCTGGGAGAAGTGATTATGTGATTGCGACATAGGAATATGATTGCGTTTAGGAGTGCAAGGATACGTGTTATTTGAATGAGAAGATTTATGTGGCTTGGAAGGTTCATGATCTAAATTTTCCTGAATCATATCACTATACCACTGATCGTCATTCGAATGTCCACTAGATGAAGATGTCAAAGTTCCTTCATTATTCGCCGGAAATCGTGAATCAGTTCCTATAGAAAAATAAAATAAATAAATTTATCAAATCAGAAACAAAGTATTTCAACATACCATGAAAAGATTTACTGCTACTTCCAGTGCCATATCCGCTGCTATTGCTAGATCTCGGTGGAGAAAAACTGCGGTCCTCATAAAGTTTCTTATAATTTCCAGCAACGACTTGGGGTACAGGTGGTGCCTTTCTCGTTTTAGATTCATCCATATTTTCATAATCGCCCTCATAGTTACCTTCATTATATTTACAATGTTGCAAAGTACAACCTTTTCTAGGTTGACCTTCAGGAAGCGGAGGTATCACAGTCAAAGTTACTATATCTGATGTCTTTAAAAGATCGACCATTTGGTCATAAGTCAAAGTTGAGACAGCAACTTTGCAAATCTCCACTAAACGAGAGTTTTGTTTCAAACCCTGTTCCGAAGCCGGACCGGAGCTTTCGACAAGAGTTACTATTCCGTCAGGTTGAACGTGGAATCCAAGCTGCTTCATAATATTTCTCTTCAAGGATAACTCCTCCACTTTCACGCCTTGAGTCACAGCTTTTAAACGTTCAACAATTTCCATCAACTCGTCCCTTTCGCAATTGTTGTCCTTTATGTGGATTATCAAGCATTCGCCTTGATGATGGTAAATGCGCAAACTATTTGTTTGAGGCGACCATCCTAGTATCGATTTGCATGGAGAGACGAATACGATTTGTCGCGATTGTTCCTCGATGAGAACAAGTGTGTCTGCTGAGATTCCCAAGAAGCATTCAATTTGCTGAGATTGTCCGCTGTCATCCAATAGGACCTGCCAAAGGATTGCCCCTCGTTGACTTGCATCAGGAAGAAATCGCGGCCGAATTTTCTCCTTTTTCTTACTAAAGATCGCTGCAAATGAGAATACAAATTAATTTTGAACTTTATTTAATATAAATAAATTATAATAATAATACTTACAGAATTTTTGGCCGGAATCGACAACGGAATTAGTAGAACGGTTAGTTACCAAATCCTTCAAATATTCATGTCTGGTCCTGGTGGCCATCGTCTCAAACTTCTCTGATCTGTGAGCCGCATTTTCAGCATTTACGACCTTTGCTAGAAGAAATTCGGCGAAGGCCTTGCCCTTTGGATAAACAGCGCCTTGCTTTATGGGTGGTCCAAACACTTGAACATGCTTGGACCTACTCACAGCAACTTTATAATGTGTGTTTTCTGTGCAAGGATGTATAGCTTGGACAACTATGAAGACGTGCTGAAACTGGGAACGAATCCCTTTCGGAGTAAACGGAAGCGCGCCTGGTTCTTGGAAAACGATCGTAACAATATCGTTTCCAATGTGTCTCTTGCGCAACAGCTGTTGATTATTGTTTTTAGTAAATGGAAGCATTGTTGATACATGAAACATAATTTCACAGTTTTGGTATTCTGAATATACGGAATATTTTCCAGTGGAATTTGCTAAAAATGTAAATGTATTATTAATATATCAAAATATATGGAAGTTAAGTATACTTACATTTATTATCCAATCCGGCTTTGTATTTAGTGAAGCCTTCAAGTTCAACTTTTTTCCCTATAGTTTCTAAAAATTCTGTAAATGCCGGACCAGCTTCCTCGTTATTGTACATTTCCTCTTCGGAACTTTGTCCCGCTTTGCAATACATAACACCAACTTTATATAGACTGGTTAAACCTTGCTCGTCCAATCTTAAGAGTTCGTCCTGCGTGTTCTGTTCGCCGAGCTTGAGGCAGTTTAACTGGATCTCCGGGGCGACGTATTCTAATACTTCTTTGGTGTTCATGTTTGATTTGTTACTGCTAGAAACCTTTATATTCGGAATCGCGTCTTCCAGAATTGCGCCGCGAAGGGTCATGAGTTCCGAAGTGCGGATCACGATGCGATACTGGTATACTGGTAACATAGAGTGCGTTTGGTTTTCTGGCTGCGACGCTTTTTCTCTGCGTATCGAAATCGCCACCGGACCCAGTTGTTCATCCGTACCAAACCAGTTCTGATGTTCTGCAGAAACGAGAGAAGCAAAAAAATATATGAGAATTTCATAAAACGTTTTGAAACGGGAGCAAAAGAAATTAGCTTTGTTTACAAACCTTGATCTTTAAAGTATCTCCTATAGTACAAAGCTCCTTGGTCGACGCTTTCTATGGGCCGGGGGAGTCTTTGGTATGGACAAGTTGATTGTCTCCAGTGGGTTTCTCCGGGGGAAAATTCAAGCACAGCAACGCCGTAAGCTAAGAATGGCCGGTGTAACGGTGGTCGACTCGAGTTACTCTGAAGTCTCGTCAAACTAACTACTCGCTCCTCCTCGCCGCCGATTTCGTTCCGGAAATATGGACAACTCTTTACCAAACCATTGCTATGTCCATCTCCATAATCCTCGTCGCCGCTTTCTTGGGTCGGCATCCTTGTCAGCATTGAAGCAGCTGATGCTCCCGTCGTGGTATTCCTTCTTTTCGCCAATAAATTCCTTCTCAACCTCACAGCATATCCTAAATTTGTAGTCAACGACTGACAGTCGTAATGCGCAAATGCTCTTCGTCTAGCGATCTCTTCTGCCTCCGCTGATACCACAGGAGAGGAAGTTGTCGCGTTAACGACGCTATCGTCGACAGTTTGTCTTTGGTTTTTCATTGAAGTACTATTCAAGCTGCCGGAGCCCCAAAATCTTGGCATTTTGACACGAACTTTTGGACTTTGTGGCGTATGATTGGGATCATCCGCCGACGCCAAGCAGCCGCCACCTGAAGACGACGTCTCGACTATACCACGTAAATATTCCGATGGCCCAGGGGACCTCTGATCAGTGCAAATTGCTCCGAGTACCTGCACAAAATATTTATAATCATTTCCATTCATTATTTGCAGATGTCTATCATCTAAGCTGATAACAGTTTTCAAACAACCAGAAGTAACGTACATTGAAAAACTTCTCGAACGGCATGTTATTTTTTCCCATACTTGCTAACAACATTACACATCACATTGTCTCTGGTATTTTATGAGTGATTCACGTTTAATTATCATGAAACGCGGCGCATTCGCATTACTTTATTACACTGTTCTACACTAACTTGGATTCCTAAAATGTTGAAACGTACAATAAAATAATACATCCTTATTATGTACGCATGAATTAAGTAAACTGTACGTTTTTTATACTCCAATTGAAAAACTTAATTATTATGTATGAAGACGATTTTGTTGCAGGTCAGTCAGCCAGACTGTGTGGGTCTGCTGTACGACCATTTGACTCCTATAAAATCACTGCCATTCCAGGAAATCGCCAATCATTTTCATACATTTCGCGTTGCTATATAGTATATTTATATATCGCACGAGTTACTTAGAACTGCTTCCACTGATGAACAAACACTAACTGGCATTGTGGTGTATACAACAAATCGATAAATCGCTATCAATGAAAATACGTAAAAAAGTCATGTGGTTCGATAATGATAATGGATTTTGATTGATAATCGGAATATTGTAGAAACCGATGTTGTCTGTGTACATCTTATTTACATTTCATCCAGCCACCGAGCAATACTATAGATAAAGAGGAAATACACGATGCATTTTTTTTTAATATATACAGCTGCACTCTATAATTCTATTTTCGTACGATAGCCACTATTTTTGTTTATTTTATTTATGATACAATTCAACTTACTTAGGGTATGAAGAATTAGTGATATTTATATTGTAATTTATTTTCACTTACATAAAAAAAAACTATATATATTTTAATTAAACGAGGTTTCTTTATTAAAGACTAGGTCAGTAATATTAATTAAAGAATATTATTTGAATAAAAAAGTCACTAGAACCTGATTAATTCAAGTGCTTAAATATATATAAGGATCATGTCCATTATTATAAATAATCTCAAGATAATTACTTTTGTGTCTGGAAATCTATTAATGACAATATTATATTGTTGTCTATAATTTAACAAGATAATTTCTTAAGATAAAATTTTGTTTTTAAAAATGACGATTACATTTAGAAAAATGTTATTCATTTTATGATTTTTAATATTTACAAAGTTATAATTGGGAAATAAACAACGTTTCTTTACTTACAGTATTTTGAATCCTAAGAAAATATAGGCATAAAGTCTCGGAATGCACAAATCTCACTCGTATCAAAGCCACTGAGTGTGTTTATATAAGGTACTCGGTGTAATATTATCGGCTGCGATAAAGCAAATTTTTCGCCACCTGTCGCCGTGTATTTGGCCAGAATACTGAAGCAAGCAAGTCGATAGTTGTGCATTCAAGTACATTACCTGCAGTTTTCCGTAAAAATTAAACGATTTCTGGGAAAGTATTAGCAGAATGACCGCAATTTTCTTAGTAAGTACTTACAGTGGGCTTATAATCCTGAAGCATAGCAAAGAAGGATTCGCCGTGGCTAGGGCGTTCAATGACATCAATCGAACCGTGACTTCCGTATTCCCTCTTCAACGTCGGCGACGAGGGGTTGGAGCACCGGCCTTGATTGTCCAAGAGCTCAAGGCTCGAGTTGCTTCTGTAGAGGACGTCGGGAACCAATCGTTGACGTCGCGAGGAAGACGAAGGTGAAGAGGTCGAAGTTGAAGTGTGCTGGTGTCGGTCGTTGTACGAGGACCTAGGGGCTGCTAGACCAGCGTTCACACGGGCCTTCTGAAGTTGGGTATTGTAGTATTCAACAGCCTGGGCCGCCCTTTCACGAACCCTTGAGGCCGGCGCACGAGGGGGCGCAGGCCCGCACTCTTGCAAACCGATCATCCCATCACGCTGCAACAAGAAACACATCCAAAAATAAATATACTTGTCTCGAAGAAGATTTCGATCTTTAAAATTAGATTCCCCGTTTTGATTTATGAATCATCCCTGATCCCTGCCTCAGGATCGACTATAAAATACATGAGTAATCTTATTCATGCTAATGTAAAACCTCTCAAGATTATAGACTCGAATATCCAATGACACACTTAAAATAGACGTTACAATCTTTATTGAATCGTAAACCCATTTCAAATTGAAACTTCTTCGCACATTCAAATCGATTTCGCATACAAAACTTAATTAAGACTAAAAGCTCAGACCCATTTCATAATTTCTTAAAGCCCCCGCGCTCCTTCAATTCGTTATCAAAACAAAAGTTAATTCAGCTTATACAAACGGATCCAATCAAAGCAAACACCATATTCCTAAATAGAAAACAAAATTGATTCAATTACAAATTAATGACGGCTATTATATAAAAAAAACAGGTCGTCTTTCAGCAACACGTTTATTTTGTTTATAAATTCCTCTATAATAAGACGAGTCTCTGCAGTGTTGGAAAAATCACTCAGCGCTGAGCCTCATTTGCTCAAAGATACATTATATAATCCGTTGCATAACGGATATGTGATAAAAATGTATTCCCTCTCGCAGCTTTAAAAATAGAACAGAGCAAAGCGTAAGCGAGTCGGAAATTAAAACTCGGTACTTCCAGTGACTTAGATTCTCGCAGTTTATCGAATAAAAGTATACAAAAATCGTACACGTGTTATTTTCCTATACTTTGGAAAACGAACTAAATATAAATTACAACCTAATAATTAGGGAACCTTCGAAACTTAAATGAGTATCCGAGGGCATTGTTAAGCCACATGTTGCTGTTTTCATGGTCGAACACGCAACCAAAATATGCTTAAACATAAATTCATAACAATTTCCAGTTAAAAATAACATCCATATATTCAAGAATCTTCTCCATATCTGCATATCGAATTATATATGTACATAATCTAATTGTTGTTATAAAACAATTAAGTTAATTAAGTTTATATACTTTATTGAATTTGAAATAATTTAATTTTGACGAGTAAAAAGACTTTGGTCGTTGGTCGAAATAAACCACTAATTTAGTAAATAAATAATAATTTTGAGGTAAATCCAAAAGATAGTTGTAAATATTGAACAAAATATTTTAAGCATTAAATTGTGAATAAAAAAATAACACATTCCCACGTTAGTCGAACGTTATTTGCCAATGCCAGACAATTTTAATAATCTACGGGGAGTGTTTGGCATTAAAACGCAATCAATTAAAGCAATTTCCTTTTTGATTTAATTACAATTTCCTCCGTTTTCTCCTCAATCAGATCGATTAGCTAACTCAGGTACTCAGGAGGTAATTACGTCCATCCGGTTTGAAACAAAAAAAGGAGAGCTCCCAACAGCTGCCCAGGAGATAGACGGGCAGCTGAACCACAGTAAACCATCAACTTCGAAAGGTCGGATTAATCATCGCAAGCTATGGTCAAATATTCTAACAATAATCAAAAAGAACATACAGCATATAGGACTACTTAGTAAGTTATATCATCAACAACAATTGTTGATGATTAAAGCGAAATGCACTACAGTAATCAAAGACAAGATGTCCCTTTATTTATGAGAATGTGATAATGTAGCAGAAACCCTAATATACATCCTCTTGAGTGGTTAAAATGAGGAAGTGATAAATCAAGTAACTAGAAACGTTTCTATCTACATGAATTAAATATCATAGTCCTAAATGGTGTATGCCAGTGGAAATCAACGAAACGTTGTTTACCAGTTGAAAGAAAAAAGCGCCGGACGAATCAAGAATGTCTCATGTAGTCCAAATAATGGTCAAGGATCCAGTTCATTGCACTCGACTACAAAAATGATCACCGACAACACCGCTTCGAGAGTGAATCACCGGTTCCGAATGAATGAATCAACTGCCTTGCAACACCTCCAATTTACAGCGCCAAAAGGGCCAAGAAAAGATGCCGAAGACCGGTAACGTTCGTTCACGAGAAGATATTATAAATCAGCTTGCGCAATCCGAAGATATTGAACCGACAAAGAACCACTCGACAAGACTACGCGCAGCGCACTAAAACCAAACGTGGCGGCGGCGGCGGCCCACGGGAAATGAATTTGTCGCATCGCGAGGCCCCTCCGAAGACACCCAAAATCCCTGGCCTTTAAATCTTCTCGTCAATTGATTGAATTATGCCACACGGGGAGATGAGATGTTCGCACATTCGCAGAAGCAAAATAATAAATTTAAATAAAGAAGAAAACAACAAAGAAGCGCGACGCATAATCTATGGATTTCCTGTTTTCGTTGCGCGATAATCCCGGCCGAGGTTAAAACCGAAATTGCACAATACTCGGTGCTTGAGACCGATTTTAGAAGCGAATAAAATTCAGCTTGAACTTTTATGCGGATCGTTCCCGCAGGAAACCAAAGAAGTGACACGATTCTCGGTTTAATAGAATTTCAGAGAAAAAAAAAACGTACAAGGACAAAAGTATCAATCAATTATGTAACTAACGGCTGCTTTAGCGAGGCGTTTAAATCCACTTTTAATTTAAGACCAGATTAACGACCTTTTAATTCTGTTTTAAGCTACAGCGATAATTAAATGCGCACGGCTGCTCGATTCGATCAAACCTATTGCTAAAACATTTGACAACACCATTTTTGACTTTCTGCCCACGTTCTAAAAACACTGTTACATTCAAATCACAGAACTTCTGTATGAATTATCGAGTTACTTTTTAGAAAGTATATTATAATTGCTGATGGTACGTACACAGTGCACATTGCGCAATCTATATGCATTTCGTAATTAATCAATTAATGTCGTTATTTAGTGATGTGCAGAGAAATATGAAATGAGTTCGTACAAGCTGTTACCATGCATCAAAACTTAACTATGTTCTAATAATGGATCGAGCATGCACGTCAATACGTACATAAGCGCATCCTGAACGAGGTGCTTAATAAATTATGCCAAGTATAGAATAATTGTGCAGCGACTTTATGAATCATCCGGTGTGGCGCGTTTCCCGTTTCCTCAATAATTGATGATTTGCAAAATGCCGCACGAAGGCCAGATCGTGAACTTCATTAAACATGTAATGCATCTGAACGAATCATCGCGTCTGTAAACAAAGCTCTTATTTTGTTATCATTCAATCAATTCATTCACTTTGATGATATTGTTCGTAATAGACCATTGACCTAAGCCTTTACAAACCGTATTTCATTGATTCAATCATCAATACAAAAAAAAATACATTTTTATTATTTTATTTCATTACAATTTGAACACTCGATGTTCTAAAATAATAATTTAACATGAATTCATTGTAATCAGGTCGCGAGTCTTAATCCACTTAAGAATAGACGTAACAGAATAAGCGTCTATTTATATTGAAGACAGACGATGCAATAAGTTCGATCAAAATATTTAGTTGATCGTACCTTTGTCATGGAGCTCTAATATTATTAATTCGTAGTAGTTCGCATGTGCTAGTTTCGCAAGTGCCGTTGCGCAATTTAACCTAGCTCGAACAATGAAAATCACAAAACCGCTCTATGGATCGGACCTTATGCAATCGCCCTAACATTCAGAGGTTAACTATTGCATCAACGGTCTTTTGATCTTAAAGGAATATGAGAGAACCGACTTATTATAAATAAACCATTCCGAAATAATTATCAATTGCGTAATCGCCAATGTGTGTCTGGCTGTGTATGTACATAGATATAATATAATTACATGCATTGCGCTACCTTTTCACACACAAACAAAATCCAATTATTTCTTATGCGGAATAATTGACTTAAACTCATTTCCATTGCAGTTATTATTATAACACATCCAATTTCACTCAATCAATTAATACCAAGGCAATCTTTGATGTTGAATCACTAATCAAATAATATTTAACTGTGTCAATGCGTTTTTGCATCAAATCCTTATTTAGATTACAAAGTTTTAGTATATTTATAAATAGAATATCAATAAAAACAACGAAATAAAGTAAATAATGCTATATCAACTCGAATTATGATTAATAGTAATAAACGCAACCTTTAACCCAGAAGTTAAATTCATAAACATAAATTTTAGGCGCATTTCGTGTTATCAGGATTTATTTGAATATATAGTTAAAAATATTTACTGTTCGCAAAACAATTTATAAATAAATGAAGCACTCTGTTTATTTATAAATGTTTAGTGAATGAAGGTATGAATCAAACACAACTTATTCAGAAACAAACCGAGCACTTTTATTTTTACAAGTGTATATCGCAAGTTGTTAACTAGGAAAAAATATGTAAAAACATAAGGTAAACATATATTTTAGCATCTAATTATGATGTTTATGAATGTAAGTTAACTAGTTTGTAAACTAAAACATAATTAATTGCAAGCTTAAAAAAGTACACTTATAAAGTTATTATGTAATTTGTAAATTTACTTTTTAAGTTTTTTTAAGTATAAATATTAATAGTAAATTACGTTGAAACAAAAGTGGGTTTATATTTTTGGCAACATTAGACTTCCCAAGTTATGTGCATGAATGAAATTTGTAGATTTACCTTTTTTTTATATTAATAAACACACTTTCTGTTCAAGAACTTTCGATGTATCCTACACATATTTTGGTTTAACGTGTAAGTAGTTTATTTTTCTGGCAACATTATAGAAAATTCAAGGTTTCTGTGTAAAATAAAACTTGCACCATCATTTTTTGCGTCAATTGCTATTTTCAGTAATTTAAATGACAAATTGATTGCTCTTGACGTTAGATCCGCCGAGGTCAGTTGAAATATATGAATGCTTTCTATCTTCTGATGATTCTAAGATGGATAAGGCAATAAAATGTAAAACTGTATAATAACCAATTTTGACGTCAATAGAAAGTGGATTTAGGTGATGCAAATTTTACGATTTTATGTGCAATGGAAAGAA